ATGAATGAATGAATGAATGAATGAATGAATGAATGAATGAATTCCGTACTATTATATGGATCTTTCTGTTGAATTTGTTATGTTTAGGTTTTTTTCCACTCTATAATCACTAATTAATGCAAACTCTCTTCTTTCATATTTCACTCTTTTAACAACAACAACAATGACAAAATTATCAGTTTTGAAAGAGAAGGGGAAGAAATTACTTCAAGGTAATTTAAGGTCATTCCACACAGCCTCCAATCTGTTTCCATTTACAGCACTCTTTAACTCTTCCAGCTCTCAGAAAAGCAGGGACCGACAAACTTCTTGACTAGGAGATTGAAGCATATTACACTAACAAACCAAACCAAAACCCCAAAAAGAATTGCCAAGGGTGAGATATCTCAGGAGGGATTCTCGTTGAACAGTGTAGCCAATTCTTCTGGTGTCTTGGGTTTTAAAGTTTAAAAAAGATAAGCTAAGTCAACCACAGATATTTTTGCACCAACCTCAATGTGAGGACAGGGGGTGAAGATCCTCACAGAAAATCTGGTAGCATCCTGGGGTGGTATTCCTGATATGAAGGGCTGTGGATTGAGGAAGTGGCTAGGGCAGCGTGACTGTGTCACTTCTCAGCTGGAGCCTTGCCCTTCCTGGTTCCTTTGAGAGGTGGAGGTGGAGGGATGTCCGGCTGCATCAGGGAGGTGGTCAACGCCTCTTTGGATGAGGAGGTGGCACTGTCTGCCTTGAAAGATGCAGCAGTACATTTCTTCTTGAAGAGATCTTCCCTGGGTCTGGCCCAATAATTCCCAAAAGAGAAGGTTATAGAAGGAGTGGTGGGTCTTCAGCTGCAAGTGCTATAGAAGAAGTGGATTACAGTATCAGGTTCCTTTTCATTCAGGCTTTAGGTCTGGGAATGGGATAAAAAGCACACTGGTTTCACTGTTGTCCGATGTGTCAAGACTTGGATATAAGGAGCGTGTACCTTCTTGCCTTGTAATTTTCTCAGCAGCATTTGATATAACAATTGTTCTATCCTTCTGGGCTACCTGTGAAGGGAGGGGTTGGAGGCACCGTTTTACACTAGTTCTGCTCCTATCTAAGCAAATGGTTCCAGATGGTTGTTGTGGGGAGTGGAGGAATCTACCTGTAAGCCACTTGGGGGCAGGAGAGATATCATCAGTATGCTGTATGATGATATCCAGATATATGTTACATGATGGGATGGGATGGGATGGGATGGGATGGTGATGAGGGGGAATTTTTGGAAGCTGAGGCTATAAGGATCTGAATGGTGAGAAACAGGTTGGATCCTAGCAAGGCTGAGCTACTGTGTGTCCAGAAACCATCTAGCACATAAGTTTTCCAGTGATAGCTCTGGATGGTGTAGCACTCCGCCTGAAGAAGCAGATCTGTGACTTGGTATTTTCCTAGACAATCACTGGATATGCAGGCCATGGTTAATGGGGCATTTATGTAATTTCAGCTGGTGTGCCAGTTGTGGCTTTACCTGGAGGAGGCAGGGGATGGGTGGCACACAAATTAAATCAATCAATTAATCAATCAATCATGTGCATATGATGTGCAAATCAGCCATGCTGTCAGAGATAAAAACTGGATTCTTTCAATTCATTTAAAAGCCCATATGTTCCTCTTCCCTGCTTTGTACGGTGCTGAATGTAAAAGACCATTGGTCTGATTTAATATAAGGCAGCTTCCTAAATTCTATAAAAACATGTCTGACTTACACACGCTGAATTCTGGATAAATTCAAATAGTTTTTCTAGTGCTTTATCTTCATTATAGCTCCCCGCCCCCCTCCTTGTGGCTCCTGGGTTCTTTTCTTCATCATTAAAAAACAACAACAGTGTTTTTCCCTCACAAATGTTTTAATCATTTAAAGAAATCCCCTAAGAGAGCAGGCCAATATTTCATCCAATATAATTCTCTGTTTCTCATTCCGTCTGTCTCCCACACATGCCATCTAATGTATTAATCTATAAGCCATTATTTCAAGCTTGGAATATAATAAAGCAAACACCTCAATCCCATTCTTCAAAGGTAAAAAAAAATATTTTAAAAGCTATATTTGGCGTTTCCAACCCTATTCTTAATTTTTGTATACCTCATCAAAAATACAGCTAATGTCAAAAGATGCAGAATGAATAGCCTAATAAAGTTTGGAGTGACCAGCCTGAGTAATGAAAATGCAACATTTTCCCTGCGGAGAAGAGTAGAATATACATTCTGGCCAATAAAATCTGATCACTCCTACTTTGCAATTGTTGGCCATTTAAAGTCTCAGCTCTCCCACAGAGGATGCAATGCAATGTCTGTTTGCTGTCCAATAATAAATATTGTTTCAGGCAGAGTATAATTAACACTGAACTGTTCAGTGGCCTTGTAATTTACACCAAGTTCCATTCATTGTCCAAACTCAACCAGAAACTTTTTAGCCCTATATTTAAAGGAAAATTTCCTGTAAGATTATTTTAATGTTCTACTTGTATTTCATCCATCATCTAAGGAGCACCAGTTGGTACTTCTTTACAACCATCCCAGTGAAGATACGCAGAGAGAGAGAGTAACCAGATTTTAGTAAACTAGTAAGCTTCATAGGCATGGGAGAGATTCTGAATCTCTCAGCTATTTACTATGTAATACTGGTTCCGTGAAGGTTCCACCATCCATTTAGAAGAACTAGACATTGCTTCAGAGATCTTTACAATTCATCCTCTATTACATGAAATTGATGATAGCATGCTCCCTTGCTGGTTTCAGGGCAGAAGGTGAAGGGTATAAGGAGAAAGGGAGTCAATAATTAGAGATGGCTTTGAAAATGCCAAAGAGTCCAAGGCAGCAGGTTTGGTAGCTAGACACACATGGAATGCTCTTGGATCAGTGAGTAATAGTATCCTGCAGGAGGGGCAATACCAGAAAGGCTGTTGCTGGGCATCATGGAAGAGTCCTGTTATAAGATAAAAAGAGTGAATGAGTGAGAAATCTGAGAAAAATGAAAGCAAGCATTCAGCTGGATGCAATTTATGGCCTCCATAGTTTTGTTGTATTCCTTCCCCTCATTCCCCTTCAGTATTGAACAATTAAAAAGGCAATATTATATATATATATATATATATATATATATGTATGTATGTATGTATGTATGTAATTTTTATTAAAGATTTTTTTAAAAGAAGATAAAAAAAACGAAGTATCAAGGCTGCTAATGTAAAACCATGATATGCTGGCAGATTTCAGTGTTTAGTTTGCATTAACCATAGTTTGTGGTGATGGACACTTATTATCGACTGTGGCAAACACTGGAAAAGGGAAAGATAAATGACTCCAAGAAAGTTAGGAAGAAGGATGAGGGAACTTGAATGTGTTCCTAAAGTTTAACTACTGCTATATCGGCATAAGAAAATAAGGGTTAGGATATTCAAGATGTCTGATCTAAAGAAGGATCGGCAAATATTTTCGGGCACTGGACAATTTAGGAATTTTGAATACATGGTGTTAACACCCTTTAAAAATTACAGGTAGTCCCTGGGTTAAGAACGCCCAGTTTAAGGATGACCCATAGTTAAGAACGGAGCCTACTGTAGCAACATTCGAGTTAAATACACAGTGATTCAAGTAAAATACACAGTGGTTCAAATTAATGACACAGTACTAATTATACACTATTATACCATAATACTGTTCTGGCTTACATACAAATTCAACTTAAGGGCAGACCTTGGGAACGGAACTCGTTTGTAAAGTGGGGACTATCTGTACTACAATGGATGGGGAGCATTAATTCTTCCCCAAATGGCTGCCATACAGGTGGTCAGGATGGCTAGTTACAAAATCACTAGACATTGAAAGGTGAATTGTAATCTTTATTCTTTTCTTGTCTGAGCAGCTGGACTTACTTTTAAACAGAGCACTGGATATAGCAATCCCCATGTTTATTGTATAAGCATATTTGTTAGGTTCATGTGGGATCCAAGGGCATTCTTGGAAATAGGATTGATGCCAGAGACTAGCAATGTATTTTGCAGGAGGTCATTTATTTATTTATTTATCATTAATTTTTGAAATTAAAGTTGAGGAATGGGGTACATAGAATCTAGCAGGCACTGAAGAAGATGGTGCCAACCCATAGGCTGGAGCACAAATATCTAGATGGGTTGAAGCCAGGCCTAAATTGAATCCTGGTTCTCATGAGAAATTGACTTTCTGGGATGATATTGTTTAAAGATGACAGATAAAGTTTTAGTGTTTTTTGTGTTTTTTTTTGCCTTTAGGTTTAAACTTGGGCTTTAGAACGTCTTAGTGCTAATTACACATGTACAATTTTTGAGAGGCTACAAAAATAATACAACATACCTCAAACCTCAGAATATTCAGTTAGAATATTTGTAAGCTTCTCAATTTGGACCTGATAATTTGACAGCCTTGAAAACTCCAGTGATCCTGAACTGGAGTATTCAATTTTAATGAGCCAGTGGTCTCAAGTTTTAAAGAATGTTAAATGTGTCTTTCAACATAAAATGAGATTAATTCATCAAGAAATACTTTCAGGTTTTCCTAGACATCTAAGTGGATGTTCAAAAGGGTTGGCTATCTATATTTCCATACTGGAGTAATAATAAATATGAAGGCATATTAACATTTATGATTTCAGCATCCCTTCTTATTGCTCCATATTGGTTTAATTTTATTTATTTATTTGTTTATTTTTCAAATTTATATATGCCACCCATCTCACTATACGGGTGACTCTAGGTGGGGTATTGGAAGAGGAGGAGGATTAATGTTCTTAATACCATTAAGGTTTTAGCAAGAGAGTAAAGATTCAAAGATGCCAGTGGTTTTTGGATTGTGATCTACCTATTTATGAAGAACTTTGGATTTATCCCACCTGGATTGTCACAAAAAGATTATAAAGGGTCCATAGAAAGACAGTAGTATCCTCAATGTCAAAGGCGGGTTTGAAGAAACATATGCACCCTTATCTTTTGAACTGGCCATCTATCAAACCATGAAATGACTAGAATGTCTTTTTCAACATGGTCAAGCTTTACTTTGTTGATTAAAAATAGAACTGTAATATTTCTTAAAATCTATAATTGCCAGTTTATTTTAATTTATTTTAAAATTAAATTATATTTAAAAATTTTGCTTGGTTACTGTTTTCTTTCTAATTTTATGTTTTTGCATCTTTGCATTTTGTACATATTTTCTTTATTTGTTGCATTTAATTCTGGGAGTTGAAGTCCACTCATCTTAAAGTGGCCAAGTTTGGACAACACTGGAGTAGCACCATTCAAAACATGTTAGGTTGTTTCATTGCTTACACAGAACACCCAGTTTTAATAATATCTATTAAATATCTATTAAATATAGAATAGTACATATTCTATAAGGACTATGATTTATTAATCCATATAGAAAAGCTTTTCATTTCATAGAATTGCTTCTTCTATGACAAATGAATAGTGATACTCACTCTTACATTTGGCTTTGGGGCTGGAATAAAATCAACTTCAGTCTGATGCTGCAGGCCTCCAAAACTGCCAAATCGTTCATGTTTCCTCCATTTTGCTCGTTGATTCTGGAACCAAATCTATGTAAAGGAAAGAATCAAAATGAAATTTTAAAATGTTATTAGTGACTACTTCTACTATTGCTGCTGCTGATTCCATTTGATAGGAGGAATGTTCACATTCACAGAAGGCAATCATTTCTGATAAAATACAACAGCAATGATTTGCCCTAAGATGCCAGAAATGCAAAAATCGGTATTTGACAGTATCTGACAGCTGCCTTACAACCTGTTTTCAGTAATTTTTATATTCAGCATATTGATACATCCAATCAAAACATAGTCTTTTGAATCCTGATTTCAGATTTTTATTCTGAATTTGAATGGTAAATTTTGAGGTCACAATTCTGAGATTGAAATTCAAATAGCAGATCCTCAAAATCAGAGCAAATTCATTTTTTCCTGACATTTAATTTAATAATTCAACATGTTTTGACTTATATGCCAGCTAAATTGCTCAACATTTATTCCTGAGGAATTTTGTGGGCGAAGTTTAGAATGAATGCACATATACTGCTAAGAAAATACACAATAATTAAACATGATTAAACAACTGATGGTGTGTAATAATCTACATCTTTCTTACATCCCACATACCAGTATAGAAAAATACTAATATCTGAAATACTTTGTTTTATCTGACCATTTAAAAAGACCAAAATATGTATTTTTAAAATCTGATTTAAGAACTTATAAATCAATTACTGTAAAATATATTTTGACTTTGCTTTGCTTTTCAGTATCTGGAAAATTGGGATTGGTTCGGCATATTAACAGTTTTCTGAGGAAATTCTATGCGGTTAAGTTTCCAAACTTATCCAGAAGTAGAAGACATTGTTATTTTATGAGGTTCATTGCTTTGCAACTAAATAAAACCTCACTTCAAGACAATGAATTCAGTTACTAATACATAACAGTGGCAATTGTTTATTGGGAAATCAATTTTTGTTACAGAGAATTTACTTTTCAAGCTTCAATAGCAACAAAAATGGAGTTTTCTGTGATGTATGATAACTGGCTTATATTTAATTTGTTGACATCACTGCATAGAACTATCTTCAAAATCTTTCATAAACCAAAAAACTGTTTTCTAGATTAGTGACAGCAAAGTAAAATATATTACACTACAAAGCTTGCTGTAATCCGGCTGGTAGTTATCAGTTTTTCACTTTTTCGTTAGTCTATCAATGGCAATAATTGATCAGCATGCAATTGCATTTGTTCTACACCAGAAGGAGCCAGAATTTACCTGAACCCTGGCTTCTGGAAGATTGATTTTGGCCGCCAGCTGGTTGCGGATGTTGATATCTGGATAGTGTGTAGCTTGGAAGATTCTCTCCAATTCCTGGAGCTGCTCTGCTGTGAACGTGGTCCTAATTCTACGCTTCACTTTCTTGTCATCTGTACAAAATGATGCAACATATCTTAAAAGGATATGCCCTTAAGACATAGAGAAAATCTAAGGGATGTAGTAGAACCAGGTATATTTCAAGTGTTTTTGATAGATCTACCACACCTGCCTCCCATCCTGTTTCAGGATGCCTGCTCAAATCCTGAAAGTCCAATTTTGTAGGTGAGACTGAGATATAAATCCTGGCCCTAAACAATGCTGTCATCAGGCCTGACCCATAGCATTATGATGAATGCAAAGTGGTGTCTATGCATGAGCAGTTGTTCACATGTAAGCCATCATTCTTCTCTATTCTGGGTTGGTCAGACAGCAACTAGAATATAGCTTCCAGATCTGGGCACAATATTTTAGTAAGGACATTGGCAGACTGGAACCTGATCAGAGGAGACTAACCAAGGGACCTGGATAAGAAAAATTTATGAGGAGTGGTTGGAGGCCTTATGTATGATTAGTCTGAAGAAGACTGGGGAGGCTTGATAGCTGTCTTCAAGTATATGAAGGCTGACATGTAGAACATGGGCAGAATTATTTAGAGTTGTTATTTAGAGAAAAAAGGGTTTGAATTATAGGGAAGTGGACCAATTTCCAATTCCAATTTCAAGGTCACCTGACTCCTTGACCACTCTGGGTAGCTTATAGATAAAAAGAAAGCCTTAAACTGAATGGGGGTAAACGTGCTTCAACAATAGGATCAACTCTTTCAGTGCATTCTTCACTGGAAGTATTAATGGCTATCTGTCAGAAATGTATTCTTGCACTAGGTAAAGAGTTGGGGAAGGTGATATTTAAGATTCCTTCCAACCCTTACATTCTATGCTTCTAGCTCAGCGTTTCTCAATCTTGGCTGGGAATTCTGGCAATTGAAGTCCACACATCTTAAAATGGCTAAGGTTGAAAAACACTGTTCTAGATGGTCCATATAATTGAGATCCAGCACAATCATGAATTCTGGCTGCATGGAATTACAATGCACAAGTAGCTGTACTTGCAATAATGATGTGTTTGGAGAAGTCTTTGCTTAATACATAGATGTTTTGGGCAGTAGGAGATGAGAGATACAGTGTGGATGGGGCTGTTCCTACTATGACCCTACTCTAGCTTTCATTCATAGTGCTAGAATGGGGGGGGGGGGGGGGGGGGAGTGTGAATCAGGCTAACCTGAGATGTTTGCATTCAGTCAGAGATTTGAATGCCAGAATGAAGCTGGTTTAAAACTTATTATAAAAGAATGTTATAATTGATTTCTTTTCTAATGACCCCCTAGTATGAATTTTCCTTTTAATCATTTTGTCATGTATAATTTCATAAATCTTTCATAGATCTATCTTCAGTTATCTTGTTACTAACATAAAAAGTGGTATCTAAATTTATGTGGTGTATATGGCTTTGCAAAATAGCAGGCTTTAAAATGAACAAGCTTGATATGATTCATTGTGATAATACTGAATGGAAGATAATTGGTGACAACAACCTTTTCAGCATAGGATTCAATATATAACCAGTTGGGTAGAAACAGGAACATCTGTCTTGATATATGCTGTCATGACTAGCTTAGCAAAGAAGAAAGAGTCAGATTGATCGATTGAATGAATAAATACTACCTATTACCAGGAAGCTCCATCTCAAACCCTTGAACCTTTAGCATATCAAAGTACAAGTCATAAGATACTTCTCCCTTGATAACCTCCAAGAGCGTCAGTCATGCTGAGTCTTGCTGACATTATGATGCAGTGATTAAGAACTGAGCAAATGTTCCATGTGTGCACATTAAAAGCAGTAATCCTGAAGCTGTAATATTATTGAAAGAAGTTGTTTTAGAAGAAGAGCATAATCAATATCATTTAAACGATATGCTGCTGTACTGTAGGAAGGAAAGACACTGTCAGGTATTGGTTGGGAACCAGGAACCTCAGAGATAATTGATTTGTTTTTTGAGGAGATCTGGAAGGATGCAAATTTGTTCCCTCATTCCTCTGAGCTGAGGTGCATCCTGAACACAGAGAACATCAAATTGCCAAGAGTTTTGTGGGGGATGGATATTAAGGAAGAGGGGGCTGCTTCCATCTGTCAGCTTTACCAAACAGCAAAGGCTTCCTCTATTTACCAGCTGCACTCATTCTGAGTAATCAGTTTCAACTAGTGATGCAGCTTGGCCATCTTAGATCAAAACTGTACAGAAATGTATGTCCTCTTGAAACTCAGTACAATGTCTTAAATAACAGGTGGAGGTGAACAACAGTGGCAAAAGGCTCTGGGTGAGTATTTTTGACTAAATACCAGATTCTATGAACTCATGGCCAAATTCAATTAATTTCCCTTATGTTCATATGGCCTAGTGTATTTATGCATGTGTGTGTAGGCGGGTGTGTGTATATAAGAAAAATCACATTTGTACCCGTTGATGGCCACCCTATTATTGTAATAACTATTAAAAAAAAAAACAAAGATGAAAGAAAGGCTCAGTATTAGTTTTGATCAGTGGGCTTGGAATATCCTTGTCAGCACATGCATTGCTAGCAGACACCATTCTCCACCTATTACCTCTTGCCACTGCTCCTATCACTTTGGTCTGCACAGTGACAGGATTTCACTCCCAAGGCTCAACCCCACTTGCACCACTTTCCAGCAGCAAAGTGAAAGGCTTGCCTTCAGTTTTCAATATGTACTGATATCATCTACTTTCTTGATGCCACCTTGAGGGAATTTAGCCTTGATCGTAAGAATGGATGTCTTGCTTTCTGACTTGAGAGGGTGTTCAGATCAGGGTGGAGAAGATGGTGGGATAGAAGTGTACTGGACTTAGCCACCCAGGGTGGCTGAGATGGTGCTTTATATATGTGATACAATATTATGCCCTGCCTTGTATGCCCCTTGCAGCCAATCTCTTAACAGGATCCCCCCCCCCAATTATTATTATTTTTTTGTTCCTTTGAGTCAGTGTTGACTCCTGGTAACTGCCCAGACAAGTCCCTTTAGTTTTTTTGGCAAGGTTTTTCAGAAGTGGTTTGCCATTGCTTCCTTCCCAGGGCTGAGAGAGAATGACTGGCTTTGTGCCTAAGACAGGACTAACACGCACAATCTCCCAGTTACAAGCCTAACACCTTAACCACTACACCAAACTGGCTCTCAAAAGCGTTAGCAAGAGTGAATGCAGGCTCTGGTGTCCAAAGTAGAAGGAAAGCCTTTCTATTCTGCTCCACTCCAGGCTAATAAATTGGAGGACAAGTCTGGATGCTAGCCAGGAATTTTATTAACTGCCTGGAATATACTAATGGAAAGGCATGATAGGAATTTAGAAATAATTTGGTTGGCTCACCACAGCAAGATGATGCCAACTTTATAATATAGGGGTCAGATTGTTCCATCACCCAAACCTATCAGAGAACAGATTTGCCCCTGAGAATAATTAGTTCTTCCTGCTCTGTCATAGATCTAAAATGATCTTGTTGCCTTATAGTAACGTCAGACTTTTTTCCTCATATATCTGATCCTGCAAAACTTTTTCTGTATACATCTTGCATAAGGCCAGCAGCAGCAACAACAATACAAGGAATTTGGGGTGTCTGTCCTGCTGAGAATAGATTTTTTTAAAACTGGATCACTCAAATTAAAATAATAAAATAACCTGAGGTCAGCTGTAAACCAACAGAGACTGAATGGACTGGCTTTGATTTCAGCTCCAAATGAAATTGCTGCTGCTGTAGTTACAGTGAGCTACTCAAGAACATGCCGGTAAGAAAGTGAAATGGTGTATTTTTTACTAAACTTAATCATAATGATATTTCTGTTTCCAGACAGAGAGGGAGGGAGGGAGGGAGGTGTGTACAGGTAGTCCTTGTTTAGTGACTGCCTCGCACAGCAACCATTCACAGTTACGATGGTGATGAAAAAGTAACTTTGCAACCAATCCTTGAATTTATGACCTTCTCAGGTCTGTAAAGCAAAGGAAAGCTGAAGTAAGATCATAAGCACAATTTAGTGACCACTTCACTTAATGACTGAGTTGCCAGTCCCAGTTGTGGATGCTAAACAAGGACTACCTATATGTGAGAGATTGGGTTGACAGAGGCAAGTCTACACTAGTGTTCACCTGTACAAGGCAACAATTTCTTGCAGCTCCAAATATTTGCAAGCAACTGAGATTTCAAATTAAGAGATTACATAGCAAACAACAGCACTCAAAATTATAGTCTAATAATGAGTGTGGAAGATAGAGGGCTATAAAATGTTAAGTGCAATGATGGTTTTACAAATTTGGCTTTAGGACCCCTGGGGAAATAAGACTACATTTCTTACTTGAACTTACTTGAACTTGAACTTGAACTATACAACTACTTAGAATTTTTATTTTATTTATAAGCTGCAAAGAAGTGGTTTAGAATAAAAATCAAAAACCTGAAGAGTGTAGGTCCTTTTCAGAAACTTCTTGCAATGGTTCCAGTTTCTTCATTAAGAAACAGAAGTTTTATTATGCTGTTAAATTTTGAGTAGACTATTAGCTCAGGGCATGAAGATAATCTTTACACCTTCAGGATTTATGGGGAATAAAAAGACCATAGAGAAACCTCTCACCCAAATTATTCCCTTTCACCTGGTGTTTGGTTGCCTCCCAGTATTTTCCTTTGCAAAATAATAAAGTAAGAGGAAGTTCAACTCTACAACAGAAATCTTTCAAAATCCAGAAAAGGACAATATAAGTTGCTGAAGAAGCTCTTCAGAAATGGGGAAATCATTGTTCCACTTGTAGAGAGGGCAATACTGAGTATGGCTGAGCATGGTCCACTGAGAATTTTTCAAGGGCAGAAATGCACAATAGAGTTCTCATACACAACTACCTGAAAGGCAACTTCTGTTCATCTTTTTTGCCATGCATCAAAAGTAGAAATTTCTGACTTGTGCCAACTCAAGCAGTGCTGTCTGGTTCTCCTGCTGCACTTCATTTCGTTGTAGACAAACTCTTCCACTCCAACTGGCTAATGGACACTGTGGCAGGAATGCCCTTTCCCCTCCAGCCACTGGTCATGGCCTCCATGGCCATTTATTATATTTACAAGTTCAACAATGGGGTGGTGAAAAGCTGGTGGTTTTTTTGGGGGGGAGGGAATTCACTGGTGGAACAGTGAAACATAGACATGTCATTTTTTTTTTTTAACCAAGTGAAATTGACAGGATTACTACCCATTCTAGCCCAGATGACAGGAAAAATGGTAAAGCTGCAGTGTTTTCTTTCTTTTTTGTGTTTGCTTTCAGGAGTAAAGAGGCAGGAAAATTGTCCAATCAGGGTCATGGTAAACATGGTCGAGATAGAACACTAGGCCATTACTGAAGTCAAAACAGAAGAGAGGGTTGAAATCTGGAAATGGATTTCTTAAATTGGCTTCATTTCCAGCTTAAGGCTGCAAGATGGAAAAGCCCTAAGCCACCTGTGCATTATATGTAATTACCTCCTTCTTATTAGAATTATGAAGGGGATGATGAAAAATTCTTCACCTTTTGCTCTGGTGGATTCTCTGGCTGGGATATCCTCCACTCTGTGTATGTACAATATGTAGGATAACTGTGTGGAGTTTCCGGGCTGTTTAACTGTTACAATACTCCTTCACTGTTCCAATTAGTTCATTCAGGTTACCTGTGATTATCCAACTCCTGAGTATGAAATTTGAAAGTAACTCTAGCCAACAATCACAGAGACCTATTACACATTGTTAGATGCAGAAGTGTTCTCTTGTGACCTGGCTGTATGTCAAAATTATATCAGAATCCTGCTGAATGATCTGAAGTATTTTCAAGAAGACTTTTAGTAGTGTAGGAACAAGATTTTTAGCAAGATCCAAAGTCCTGCTTTTAGATTGCCTACAAGTTAAAGGCACTTTTAAGAAGGTCTCTTACATGCATGCCATGAATGCAAGGAGTAACCTATTGGTCCTTGATGTCTGCATCTTTGGAACTTCTGAAAAGATTGCTCCTCATATAATTTGGAACATGCTTGAATTGCATGAACATTGCCTTTTTTTTTTCCGGGCTACATGGACATTGTCTTAATAGGGTTGATTTGAAAATGATTTGAAAGAAGTATATCAGGTGTAACATGAGCCCACCACCTCTTTGCTACTAATTAAATCAGCTACATCCTTTTTCCAACTTCTATGCAAGCCTGAAAAAAATATGCCACTGATTTAAGAAGTCAACACATTGAAGTGACTCTTAAAGCAGTGGGTTCTTTTACAAGAATTGCATAGAGGCATGGCAAAGAATGTTGCTTCTTTATTGACTAGCAGAGATGTAGCATGCTTATGCTTACATGAAGTCAGAAACATTTCTTCCAAATAATTTTCACAGCATGCACAGCTCTATTGTATATCTCCTCACAATGTACTTAATGTATACTTAGAGATGGTCTTCGGAACAGTGAAGGGCACTTGGAGAAATGATGATGATGATGATGATGATGATGATGATGATATTGATGATTGGTTCCTGAGTGATATGGAAAGTATTGGCCCTCTCATAAAAAATGTAGGATAGTCTGTTCATTAGAAAAAGAAAAAAGGAGGTCATGTCCTCTTTGAAGCTTCTCAGGCAAATTAAGGAGTCTGTTTATTTGATTAAAGGACATTATGAAGAGACTTGGAATTGAGAATATGGTACTGTGGCTAATTTCTATCAGAACATCTTCTCACCCCTTATTAAAAAGATTAGTTTAGCTGGGAGAATGGTTCTAATTGGATGCGTACAAATGGCTCAGGCTAGAGCCTTCTGCTGCTGAAGCATAGCATTTAACATCCTGCTGATATCTATTGGGGCACTGCAGAAATGGAGCAGCAGGATGCTGGAATGTTTAAAGGCTCCATTTAATTTCTTTTAGTCCAAAGCCTTTCAGACAAAAGCTGCCTTCACCTAGGCACCAATCACAGACACTTAATTACTGGAGCGGATGGCTGCAACGAAGAGTAGGAGAAAAACCTCTGGCATATGAAGAACAGGAGAGCTTTAAACATTTTTTAAAAAATGAGTGGCTAAAAGATATCTTACAACAAAAACGAATGATAAAGATTGCTCTGTGTGTGTGTGTGTGTGATATATCCCTGTCATGAAAATCTATTCAATGTTAACTGTGTTTTGAGAGGTTCCTTGCTCAGCTGCCAGTGTAATGAAAGCAAATGAAGCATGGAAGAAAATAATGTAGGAGTCCAAAAAGAGATAGAATGCATTGCAAGCAAAGATTTGATGGTAAGGGATATAGTGAAAGTTTGTTCAGTTCTGGAGAGATTACAGCAACATGAATGCAAATGATCTAAGTATAGTTAACCCTTGTGCATCCGCTGGCTGCAGGGTTGGCTTCCCGCAGGTTCTACTTCCAGGTTTGACACCTGCTACCGTTTTAACAAATGAACTATTGTTATTATCCCATCCATACAGTGTCCTTAGCACATTCCCTAGAGATCTAGAATTCAGGGGTTCAGATATACTTTATTACAGTATCCTGCCAGGTAAAGACTTAATATATGTTATTGTCTATACCAAACATTAATAAATTAAACACAAAGAAGACCAAACTAATGACAACAGGTAGAACAGCCAGCCTCAAAATTGACAATGAAGATATTGAAGTGGTAGATAGCTTCTGCCTTTTAGGATCAACCATCAGCAGTAAAGGATAAACAGCCAAGAAATATACCTCAGACTAGCACTTGGTAGAGCAGCCATGAAAGCCTTGGAACAGATATTCAAATGTTGTGATATGTCTATACCTACAAAGATCAGAATAATGCAAGTGTTGGTATTCCCTGTGACACTCTATGGAAGTGAACGTTGGACTATAAAGAAGCAGGATAGGAAGAATATTGACAGCTTTGAACTTTGGTGTTGAAGACTCCTGAGAATACCATGTACAGCCAAGAAAACAAACCAATGGATCATCAAACAAATCAACCCAGAGTTCTCACTCAAGACACAAATGACCAGGTTCAAATTATCCTACTTCAGACACCTTATCAATGCTCTAATGCTGGGAAAGGTGGAAGGAAAGAGGAGAAGACCAGCAGCAAGGAGGATGGACTCAGTTACAGTGGTGATGAATGCACCATTGGGAGACTTGAAAGAACAGGTTAGGGACAGATTGTCATGGAGAAAAATCTATGTGGTCACTAGGAGTCAAAAATGACTTGATAGCACATAATCAATCAATGCCAAACAATTTAAAGAAGAATGATAGATGAATATGTATTCAGGTGAGTGGTGAGTGCTGCACATGCTTAGGCACACAGATATGGATTCCTGCTCAAGCACTGCACAATGCCATAGAAGCACAGGCCACTTCATGTATGTGCTGTCCTGACAGCCTACAAATAACAATTTTTTGGGCTGCAGCTGCAGAGAGTCCACTCCCACTGGGAAAGACATGCAACGAGAGTAACAGTGGGAATCACAGCACAATACAGCACTGAGAGATTGAGGGGAAGGAATTTTGGTTGGGGACTGGGGAAGTACCTACAGTGTGCTGCACAGGAAATTGAATGCAGCCCATAGAAATAGTCAGCTTGTCCAATACTGCCATTTATCAGGAATTTTAAATAATCATAGTGGTTGTCCTTGGGGAAAAAAAATTAAAAATCTATAGCCGAGGAATATTTTTGTTAGGACCAACTGAAATGCAAACTATACATTCTCCAGAACATTTGATCAAGCATGGTATTATTAACAACAAGAGAAGAAGAAAGCAAATACTTCCAAAGATTAGGTCAGATATTTCAGCCATGAGATCTGTACTTCAAAGGGAGTCCCAAAGTGAACTGTAAATTGAATGCAGATTCAGAATTAGGCATTGTAGGAGTCAGATTGCTCCCAGTATTCATGGTCAAAGAACCAAAATAATTGCTCCTCCCATCTCAGAAACTAGAAAGACTGTGATCCCCAGTCTATCTTTTTCATGAATGACACACAAGGTACTTGGTCTGGCAGAAAGCAGGAATCAGAACATTTTATTAAATCTTTGTATCAACAGAGCTAGAGATTTGCATATCAGGTATAATGTCAGTTAAGCCAAATTTGAGTAGCATTCTCTGGAGGGTAGGGGATATTGGGCCCTCAAAAAGAATACAGTGGTACCTCGGTTCACGAACGCTTCTGTTCACGAACAATTCGGGTCACGAACAGCACCGTTCGCAAAATTTTGCTTCCGATCGCGAACTCTGCATCGGGTGACGAACAGGATCCGCAGCCATTTTCCCTGCTGTGAGACGTGGTCGTGGCTTCCTGTAGGGAGGGGGACTCTCCCTCCAAACAATAACCGCCTCCCCACCCACCTTCCTGTCCTCCGCGCCAGAAGTCACCTCAAGCAAGGTTAGCGCTCTCTCTCTTCATACTGTACTGTACTGTACTG